TAAGTATGCTTGGCTTGTAGTTGCGCATACTCTTTTTATAGAGTATACTTAGTACTTATTTCACATACACTGGATTCTTTGAGGTAGTATTCCAGTAGACCCTTGTGAAAAAATGATGCGCTAAAGTATATTATTAGCTTGTGTTTTAATTAAATGTTTCAGCCCAGTGTAATGTTTAGATAGCACAGGAAAATTAATCCATAGGTAAAAAATACACTACAGTTGACCCTTCCATACTGCCGGTGTTAGGGGTGCAGGGCCCTCCACGATTTGGACAAATTGTACGAAATTTTTTGCCCCCCTTGGTGAGTGAAGCGAGCTTGAGAGCAGGGACTCAGAGCCTATGGGTGATGTATCTGCAGATATACCTCCATATTGGGTGGCTGAAAATTCTGGGGTTGTGTGGATGAAAGGCGAAAATGGAGACCAGTGTCTTCTTTTTTAAATGAAAACATAGCAATGTGATTGAACTGGTATGGCTGAACTCTGCGAGCACCAAAAGCATTGACCAATATATTGACCAAAATAAAACTTAGATGTAAATTAGATATGTACTCAAATATTACTATTTTTACACTTAAAGTATACTTTAAAAAGTATACGTTCATTAACTAAAAGTGGGCCCATTTAGTCTCAAGAAGTATTATAATGTACACTTACAAGTATACTGCTAGTACATTGATATCAGTATACTTAAATATACTATACTTAAGTTTACTTAATAAAATGAACTTTAAGGGCAGCTGTGTAACCTTCTCCTGCCAAATCAGCAACCTGAACTGTCAGTGTATACTGAGGGTATTTCTGGAAAGATAAGATCAGGTCACACATTTGTTCAGACTGAGAGCTGTGTTTGGTCAGAGGAAGAAAAGCCCACCTACCTCATATTTGTTGTCACAAGAAACGTCATTTCCGGTGCAGTCACAGACTTCAGCAGCGAGAGTATTGTCTGTATAACGGTTATTACTGTCAAAGACCCTTAGGACCACAATGTACTTGTCCTGTGGCAACTGTTCCTTTAATCCAAGTATAATGCCTGTATCTGAAGGGGGGGGGGAGAATCAAATGGGGTCAGCAATGCTGATTAGTGCTGGAATACAATTCACATCCATAACCCTTGTTTAGGGGCATATATAGGAGCGAGACAACATCAAGATAGTGAAGCCATGTTCAAACATCCTAACTTCGTCCAGCCCCCCCCAGTTGTTGTTCCTCTTCTTCAAACAGCTACATGCTTACTGCTTTCATTCATTTTTGCAGTCCAGTTGTTGCTGGATTTATCCCGAAGCTCCACTCTGAAGGGGGGGCCAAACTGAGGCCCGTCCTTGTCACTGACGGAGAGCAACACTGGCTCGGGGTCCTTGTTACAGATACGGATCTCTCTTTGGTCGATTGTTGGGGCATTATCATTCACATCCTTCAGGTCCACAATCAATGTCCCAGTCCCTGTGGTAGGAGGGGCACCTGCAAAACCCAAAAAGGCTTAAGATTCAAGGACTACATGCATCTCCCTGATTTAGATTAAGGGTAACATGGACAAAAAAAAAGGTACCATTATCAACAGCAAGAACCAGAGCTTTGTATTTGCCATCAATAAGAGAGGATTCTTCTCGGCCCATTTTGCTCTTAACAGTGACGTAGCCAGTAGTTTTATTAATAGCTAGCCATCCAAGTTGATCTGGAACCATTCTATACCTGAGAGGTGAGGTACAAGTAGTAGGTTAGGTGAAATTCTTGGATTATAAACATGGCAGATACAACCACATTAGAAAATAAATGCATTTCATTACTCTATTGTCTGTTTCATGCGAGTGTCTGGATCGGTTGCTGTATACTGAGTCACTATCTCATTCACAGCCAAGTTCTCTTCCACAGACACATGCTTCTCGCGTGGATTGAACACTGGAGCTTCATTCTTATCCTCCACATTCACCACCACTGTGGCTGTGGCTGTGCGCAGCAGGATGGCAAATGGAGCTTCATTGTCCACTGTAACCATCAGCGTGTATTTGTTCTTCTTCTCAAAGTCCAGCTCCTACATCAGGGAAACAAACACATGTCATGTAAAATTACTAGTAAAATTTGCACCTAAGATATCAATAGGACAGATATCTGACTCATTGTCTTACGGAACCAAGCACAACAGTAGATGTTTAAAACCATAAAAAGGTTATACGAGTCCAATAAGTTTTTGTGTTTTTTTTGCATAATCTGTACTTAGTTTAGTTTGGCACTCTACATAATAGGCCATATTTTCAAATATTAATACCTTCACTATAGCCCAGTATACCCTGCTCATGTATTAAAGAACAAGTGACAAACATTATGTCATGCCCCCTTGTGGTCAATTTCCTTTTGCCTTTTGTCTTGTGTTTTGTTTGAATAAAGCCCCTTTACTTTCCCCCGACACCTGCCTTCGCCTCCATCCTTCCCGCACCGTAAAACAACATGACAGCTGTAAAACTGGGACTTTACCTTTATTAGAGTGACAACGCCATCCAGGCCACCGGGGGCAGTTGACACATTGAAGACATTCCCATCATTCCCTTGGACAATCTTAAACTTCGTGAACCAGGCAGGAGTTTCAGGATCATCAGCATCA